ACCACGAAGTCTACCGGGACGATAAGCTTTCCCACACGAACAAGAATATCCTCTATGATTCCCTTGGGGTATCTGATTGATCGGTCGGCAAGCTGTAGGCACATCCGAGTTGGCCTCAAATCTCCGAGGCCGAGCCGCTGGTAGATGGAGAATGGCATGAGATTGATCCCTGCTCCGAGGTCTAGCATCCCCGAAGCCTCTTTTCCATTCCCGAGGGCAATTTTGATGACGAAACCCCCGGGATCACGTTCCTTCTTCGGCAAGTCGTGCTGCATTGCGCTTGCCGCCTCATAGACCACTACCTTTTCTCCGTCCTCGAACCTCCTCTTCTTAGTGACCAAGTCCTTGAAGAACTTGACGTAGGATGGCATGTTCTTTATCACATCAAGCAGCGGCAAATTCACATTGACCTTTGAGAGCATGGTGTAAAGGTCTCGAAATTGCTTCTCCTGCTTCTCATCCCGAAGCCAGCTCGGAAAAGATATGCGTGGCTTATATGGATTTGGGGATTTGTGCAACAGTGGGCCATCCGCCGGTTTCTCCGAATCAGCTTCCTTGGAATTTTCGATATTCTCTTCCGCCTCCTTAGTCAGTTTAAGCTCCTCGGACTGATCCGACGGACCTGGCATCTCTACCCGGTTATCGACCACTTTCCCGCTTCTCAACACTGTGATTGCCTGAGCCTCCTTAGGTTGGCTAGGCAACTTTCCCTTGTCTGCTTCAGACTCGATATTGCCCACCCGAGTAGCCAGCTGGCCCACTTGGGTTTCCAAGCGTTTGATCGATGAGTCCTGGTTGGTAATGAACTGAAGGATTTTATCTAGCTTGTCGTCCTGGCTAGACGAACTCGAACAGGACCCTTGGACTTGCTGTTGTGGTTGCTGTTGTTGTTGGTAGCTCGGACGGGGAATGAAGTTGGGACGGTTCTGCTGTTGCATGAAGTTTGGGCGGGGCTGCTGTTGGTTGAAGTTCGAACGAGGTGGCTGGAGAGTATTGTTGTTGTTGGACCACGAGAGATTTGGGTGATTTCTCCACCCGGGATTGTATGTGTTGGAATAGGGGTCATTTGGTTGCCGGTTTTGGTAACCTTGGAGAGTGTTGACGTCTGCATATTGTTCTCCGACCTCCTGGTCAAACGCCGATGGGCACACCTCGGATCTATGCCCCTGAACTCCACATGCTCCACATGTGTCTACTGCCATGGTATGCATGGACTGGCCTCCTCGTGCATTCATTAGCCGCATTTGCTCGGTGAGTTCGGCTATTTGCTGGGCCATCATATCTTGAGCAGAAGATACCTCGTTGACCACGACCCTCTTCCCTCGATTGCTCTTTTGAGACGAATTAGCACTCATCGTCTCAAAAATCTCATACATCTCTTCGGCTGTCTTCGCACCGATGTCTCCCCCTGCAGCGTTGTCAACCATGTATTGCAAATTCTGGTTGAGGGAGTCGTAGAAGCAATTCATTAGTAGTCCCGGTGAAAGATTGTGGTGGGGACACTGTCGCTGGAGATCCTTGAATCGCTCCCAGGCCTCGTGAAGAGGCTCATTCGGTAGTTGGGCAAACGAGACGATCTGTGACCGGAGCTCCTGAGTCTTCTGATGGGAGTAGTACCTCCCAATAAACTTCGTGTAAACCTCGGTCCAGGTGGTCAGAGATGCCGGTGCAAGTGTCATGAACCAGGCCTTGGCCCGGTCTTTCTATGTCTCGGGGAAGCACCTCATCTTCAACTGATCCTCATTCAGCCCGTTCAGTGGGAAGGTGTTGAGGACATTGTAGAATTCCCGGATGAAGTTAAGCGGGTCTTCGCTTGGGAGCCCATGGAATGCCGGCAGCTGGTTATAGTGAATCATTTTTAGCTCATAATTTCATGCGGGTTCTGGTAAACAGATACACGAAGTGACTGGCCCGATAACCGGCTGGGCCAAGGTTCGAAGGGTGTTACGAGGCGGTTGTTGCTGTTGCTCATCCATGTTGACGTTACTGCCCTCTGACGATTTCGGGGAGTGCTCGTCTCTTTCGTTAGATTCGAGAGTAAGCTCTTCCAGCAGCTCCCTCAGGCTCTCGTTCACTGATTTGTTGATCGGAGATAGCAATTTGCGTCCACTCCTGGTACGCATACACTAAGACCAACAAGGGTTACGAGCACCAATGATAAGAAAAAGAAAATAAAAATAAACAAGAACTAACACCTAACAAATAAAAGAAATCAAGAGAAACACGGAAACAAGAAAAATCACAAGAAGTAAGAGAAACACTCAAAACAAAATGAATAGGCGCACAAAATAAGTCCTAAACCTTCCCCGGCAACGGCGCCATTTTGTTGTAGTTATTTGTACCGGAGTTAAATCAAAAAATTCGAACACCGGGTCGTGTCTCAAGGAAGGTTAGCCGGATTATTTTGTACGATTATTCAAGCACAAGAATGGAAAATAAAAGAAGTGAAAATCCTAAACATTCTAAATCAAGTTTGGAGATTTGATTATCGTCTACTAATTTGAAAAGCAAATAATTGAACAGGGCAGGCAAACTAGGAATCATAAATTTAATATATAATGAAAGAGCTAGGGTATCGGGGTCGATCAATTCCGGTTCTCAATACACTTAACGAGCAATCAAGAGCTCGGTTGAATGCTTCGCTAAACTACTCATCTAGAGGTCTATCCCCAATAACTCTTCGTAACAAGAGGATAGACATTAATAAGCAATTCTTGAAGCAATCAACACATAAGCAATACTATTACGAACAAGCTTATTCCTAACGAGCCTAGATCGAACGATTTCTCCCTTTTCAGTTTTAAAATCGATTAGATAGATTAAGATGGTGATCAATCATCAAAACCCTAAATTAAGCACAACTCGAGAGGATGGAGCAATTATCTTGCACATAAATAAAATCAAACCAGAACGATCTTCCCTTAACCCTAGCTAAAGGATTTAGCTACTCATAATGCATTCAACTCCAACACATATAATAATCAAAGCCATTCAATCAATAAGAAAACGAAACGAAAGCTTACGATTGAAAAATCCAATGTTGAATACACGAATAACCGAATCCACAAGCTTAATCTTGGTGTTTTCACAATCCAAGATCAAATCCTATGAAGAACTAAGAGAAAAACTGTTTTGGAGTGAATAAAAACGAGAGAGAGTCTAAACCTAGGTGAAAAGTGATGAAAAACTGATCAAAAAACGCAACTTAAAAATTCTGCTGTCGCGACCTCCGCGGCCGCGACTTAGACCTCCGCGGCCGCGGCGAAGAACCTCTCGCGGCCGCGACTTGCTCCGCGGCTGCGACCTCCCCGAGCCAGAAACTGGGACTTCCGTGTATCTCGCGGCCGCGACTGCCGCGGCGAACAATTTCTGAATGCTGGTTTTTGGATTCGTTTTCTCTCATCCGGACTCGGAATTTGACCCCGTCTTCTCCAACACGACCCTAATTCATCCATCTAGACAGTAGACCTCGCATATCCATGCACCGAGCCACCAAACCTGCACATCATCACCGACAAGAAATACGGAAAACGGGAAAAACGAACAAAAAGACCAAAATCGACTAAAACAAAGGATATGCGCGAGACGACTCGAAACGGACCAAAAACCAAAGAAAAATACCTAAGTAGGGGAAAAACAAGCATGAAATAAACAAAGAAAACGTGACAAAAGTGGAACGAACATGACCGATTGAGAAACGGTTCGGCATCGGTTTGAGATATGCTAATACGAAACATTTTTATTCGGTTAGGTCAATAAGGTATCAGTTCGGTTACCAAACAGTTCTCAGCCCTATATCTGTTGCATTTTGCATTAAATCTGCATGGTTATGTTTACTGATTAATGTACTGGAAATCAAGACAAAGGTTTCATCTCATATATTGTTTTTCACTTATGATAATGAAGACGTTATGTCAATCAACATGAATTTCTTTAAATATTTCATATTTCATGCAAATGGAGCTAGAAGAGTCATTGTTGACAATTCTCCTGACATAGTGCTAATAATGGACTAGATCAAAATGGCTCAATTAAATTCTAGTGCTTCTTCTATTAGTGAAGTTTCTAGAAAAAAAAAAAATATCAAACGGCGCAATGCACCTTGGGTCGCTACGGAAACAACCTCCTTGTATAATTACAAGGGTAAGGTCTGCGTACAATTGACCCCCCAGACCCCAACCTGTTGGGAATATACTGGGTATGTTGTTGTTGTTGTTATTTCATATTTCACGCACATTGTTCTTTAAGTGGATTATCTCTTTAACTAAATACAGGAGAAATGCGTTTAAGCACCCTTGGTTGTTTATACAGATGTGCCCCACTTTGATCTCATGTTGTAGGCGAGAGCTTGGGAAAATTTTTATATTATCAGATTTTGTTTGGTGATGAGTAGAACTTGAGGTCTGCAAAGAACAAAAATAGTTGTACACTTAGTTGTTTGGAAAATTAACATTAGAACCTTCATAAAATTGATGAAAAGGTGTAGTAAGTTAAACTCTTCCAGACTCTGAAATTACATGGCGATGAATTGGAGGACTGGCTGAACATATTACTTTGAGCTCAGGATTCCATGACATGTGTACTTAGAATCCGTGGAGGGTGAGGTTCTGGTTCTTGACACGTAATTTTACAGTTTGTATAGTTTAATGCCTTCTCAAATTTATAAATGGGCTTGGGTAGAACTCATCTCCAAAAGCTAGCTCAAAGTGAGAGGGTGCCCAACCCACACTTATACACAATAACAACCCAGTAACTACTCGATATGGGACATACATAACTTCTAACACTATTCTTATGTGTCACTATAATACCATATGATGTTGGTTTCTTATCATGTTGTATTTATTGTAGGCATTTATGGTTTCATGGTACTCTTTATATGCAGATCCTTTAAACTTCAGTAGTCCTATGTCAGGAGAACTCTTTGTGTTTATGCTTCTAAACCACCCACGTTCTTCCCTTTATCTCTTTGTTCTTTAATCGACATTCTTTGCCAATAAATGTGCAGGAATCACATACAAGGGTATCCATCTATCCGCATCTTCCGCAAAGGAAGTGATGTAAGGCAAGATATGTTTGCTCGTTTTTTGCTCTAATAAACCTTTTGTCATTTTAATTCCTGCTATTCCATTGACTATTTTTTTTCCTGAACGCAGAGAGGATCATGGCCATCATGAACATGAGTTATATTATGGACATCGCGATACAGAGACCCTAGTTAAGGTGAGAGTTTCACACTTTTAGTTGGAGCAAGACTTCGGTGGAGGCTTGCGAAATTATAAAATTAGATATATCAATTTTTATTCTGCTACATCCAATGCTTTTCATGTCAGTTGGATGTGTAGATTGATTAGTATAACTGCTGAACTTACTTTTTGTAAGAAATTAACAAAACTTTGATATTTGTAGACAATGGAGGAATTGGTGGCATCAATATCTTTGCTGGCTCAAAAGGGTTCAGATAGTCCGTCCACTGAAAAGAGAGATGACGCTAAACGGCCTGCACCTTCATCTGGAGGATGTAAAATTGAGGGTTTTGTACGCGTGAAGAAGGTAAAATATTACATCATTCAGAATTTTCGAGGATAAAAAGTTACGACATGATTAATTTTGTATTTGGATAGGGTAATTAATTTCCTCTTATGGTATGAACTACACAGGTCCCTGGGAATCTCATTGTGTCCGCACGTTCAGCTTCGCATTCTTTCGACCCGACTCAGATGAACATGTCGCATATTATTTCCCATTTCTCTTTCGGTAAAAAGATCAGCCCAAGGGAAATGAGTGACATGAAGCGTGTGCTGCCATATCTTGGTGGGAGCCATGACCGTTTGACTGGCCAGTCGTATATCAGCAACCCAAGGGATTCTGATGCAAATGTTACCGTAAGATTCTATATTTTTACTCGTCATTTTCTACCCCGCTTGTTCATGTTCAAGAATGGCTTACAAATAAAGCAAACCAATAAAATCCTTTTTGCATGTTTGTTTTCTGGAACCAAGCTCCTTGTTATTGTCTCGTTAAGTTTTATGTGGCAATTTTTGAGAAAATATTCAAAACTCAGTCAAAGTTTATTCTTAAAATTTAATTTCTTTATTGGATGATTTATTTTGGCATGTCCAGGTTGAGCACTATCTTCAGGTTGTGAAAACTGAAGTGATGACTAGATCTTACAAATTAGTGGAGGAGTACGAGTACACGGCCCACAGTAGTTTGGTTCACAGTATCCATATACCTGTCGCAAAATTCCATTTCGAGCTATCGCCAATGCAGGTACTTTCTCAATTCTTATGAAAGGTCTCGTCAAATTTGTCCCCCAGTTTATAATAATGTTTTCTTTCTCCTTCAGGTCTTAATAACTGAGAACTCTAAATCTTTTTCACACTTCATTACAAACGTCTGTGCGATTATTGGTGGGGTTTTCACGGTAGGTGTTCACCTCAGGATCTCTCTCTTTGATTCTCTTCGTATTTAGCCAACACTAAATTTATAATATATTTATGGTTTTCAGGTTGCTGGGATATTAGACGCGATTCTGCACAATACTTTCAGGCTTATGAAAAAGGTTGAACTGGGGAAGAATTTTTGATCAAATGTTTGGAATGAACGAAAATCTATGTTTGTATACATACACCTGTATCATCCGTTTTGTCTTGGATGGTGAGATAATCTAAATTGCAGACGATGTAGTTTGACATCAAGATCTTATGAGTTAATAGGTATTAGGGTCATTTTTCCTTTTTTCTTTTCAATTTGTCATAAGAAGAAAAAATTTGGTGGATCTTTTGAAGTCGTGGATGATGGTTTTTAGTAATTATGCTTTAGAATGCCAAAACCGGTTGACAGCCTATCAAATTACCATTGGACAACTTTTGTTTTTTGTCACGTGTGTTTGCGTGTTATGCGAAACACAATCAAACAAATGTTGGCAATTGTCTGTGACCCCACTTATGAAGAATTGTGGGCCCGACTGGTTGAACCTCTCTAGAGGAGGTGCTGTTTTTGTAGTCTTGTTTGGTCACGTGCAGAACCAAACCAATTCGTGTATCCAAACACTAAACCAGGACAAAAAATAACATAGAAAATATATAACGACTTGAGCTTGTGTACCCATGGTGAACACGATATTTGTATTCAGTCAAGTGTTAATTAGTCATTAAAAATAATACCTAAATAGTTACAGAGTTATTTAAATATATAGCATGTCTCTAAATAATTTAAACATTTCAATTGTTTCATAGAATTTATCAGTTATTATTAATAATAATGACATTATATGACGGTGATCTTAGAATAATATAATAGGCTAGTATTATATGGTGAAAAAAATTAGTAAGATTATTATTCTTTTGCTATATCAAGAAATAAATATATGGTTGAACTCTTAATTATATTAATATAAACAGTTAAGCGGACTGGTATATTAATGAAATTTCAGGCTGGCCATATCGAAAAAAAAAACACTAATTAAAACGTGTGAAAAATAAATGATTCAATCATATTATTTCTGGGAGCTAAACGGACGACCTTATGTACTTGGCCGTAACCTTTTTTGTTTTTTTTTTAATCCCGGGTATTATGAGTCAAAAATGTACAACTAAGCATGACTTCTTTCTAGAATGCATACCGATATATTGCATCGGCAACTCCATCTTCATCATTGCTTATGTCTATTACATTCGCAACAGCCTTAGCCTTTTCAGATTCATTACTAAGCGCAATGCCTAAAGAAGCCAACTCCAGCATCTCCACATCATTTTCGCCATCGCCAATAGCCATTATCTGATACACAATAATAATGGGATAGCCGTTCACATCCTAATATAAATTATTCAGATATACAATTATCTAACTAGCTAAAAGGTATAATGATTCATTGAAATTTGTAGTCACAAGTAGACAACTCAATTTGGTTTATTCAGAGATGAAAATGTTGGGATAATATGGTACACACCTCAGTACTATAGAGGCACGACCCTCAATTGCTTCTTTCCAATATGGCCGCAAAACTATCTAAGAAGATTAGCTTCTGCAATCACAAATGTATGGAAATAATTAATTAGCTCAACAAGCAACAGCTAACTACAACAAAATTGAAGTAAATATTTAGCGCCATTCAACAGGGTGGCAATATATTGGGGCATGACCCTATTGATCAACATGAACATAACCTGTATGTATTCCAGCGCCTGCTAAGAGCTGCTCAACTGAAGGTATAATCTGTGCCTGTTGACAAAATCTAATGTCAAAATCAAATTCTATAAAACCATACATCATAACTCTTGAAAGAAATGGTGTCTGAAGACAAGGAAAATCATATACCTTTGGCTCATTATACACTGTTTCAAGTGTGTTAAGAGAGGATGTTCGAACAATGTTAAACACCTATCCTTACTAAAGGCAATTATAGGAATTTTTCGGTTCAGTGAGTACAAAAGTGCCTGTCAGAAAGACGGAAAATTTTTCAGAAAAAAGGCTAAAATCAAATCAAGAAACAGTTATACATGACAAACAAAAGTTATATTCACCTCTCTGCAAATATTTATATCCAAATTCCTTCTATATATTTCTAGACCTTGTCTGCCAACGACATGCAAACCCTGTAATCAATAATTGAGCAAAAATATATCAGAAGATCAGAAGTTGAAAATAATTATTTTAAGCATCATTACATTTCATCTATCCATCCAGTATAAAAATATACATTTCATTTCGAGTATTTAGAGATTACTCTCGCAAATATAGATATCATCTTTTCTTATATATCAATCCCACATGACCATTCTCTTGATAAAATATATACTGATAAGATTGTTGCTAGACGTGTTGAAAGGACAGGGCATAGCAACACCTGTACAAAAACTCCCGGAGAGAACTCCGAAACAATTCCATCTTTTCCATCCAAATTTACCATCTTGAGAATATTTATTACAGTCGGCCGAGTCTGTATCACAAATTGAACCAATCAGAAAAACATTAGTATCATTGTAAAACAGAGCTTACAATGGAGGTTCAAAAATCCATTCACTTTTTGATTTTCAGAAAAGGGAAAAAAAAAGAGAGTTGTCTTACTTTTCCAGTGGCTATCACCACTTTTACACCCCTTGACAACTGACAAGGCTTCTCCTAAAGCTGCTACAGTTGTTGAGGAAATTTGACTTTTACTATTTAACAATGTACTAGACAATGCATCAAATAGTTAGATACTATTTATATATTAAAATATAAGTGAGTATATTAAATCAAGCGTTGGACGTAAAATCTTACCATCCATGTCGCAAAAGATGTAGCTAAATTTTGGTTTGTATAAACGAAGAATGCCTTCTCTCCCTTCTTTACGACAATTGTTTAATGTATTACTTTCTACGATAGTATTAATACAAATATAAGTACAAATGAGCTTTGTGTTATCCATCATAGTTGCAAAATTAAAAGAATCTAAAAATTGTAATAACTGTTAGTTTTTTTATTAAGTTTTGTCCCACATCGGATATATACCAAATATGTGTAGGATCTTATTAGTATAAATAGGTCCCTTGCCTTTGGTTACAATTGCACCTTATTTTATTCTCTCCTCTCTTGGTAAGAAATCTTTGTTTAAGGAAATTCTAATTTGTGGGTTATTTAACCTTAGTTGTATTTTGTTGGTGAGTTTAGTAAATTTGGCGTTGCGGTTGGCGCTGCCCGGAGATGTAGGCTATTTTTGCCGAACTCCATTATCAATTTTTGTGTCCTTTTTATTTCTTGTCTTTTATTTATATGTGTTGGCTTATTTTTGTTTAGAGTAGTGCTTGCCATATTTGTTGGAGGGGTATTTTTGTCCGCTGCGTTTGGTGTTCTACCCCAACAAGTGGTATCAGAGCCGAAGGGTTCGCTCTAGGCTTATTCGAAGAGGCGAGCACTGCATTCGAGTTCGAGATGTCCAAGGAGGTCAAGTGCGCATCATCCTCTGCATTCATTCCGGCAAGGACGGTGATGCCGAACGTCAGGCTCTCGGTGGAGATCTTTGATGGGACCGGGCATTTCGGCATGTGGCAAGGCGAGGTGCTGGATTGTCTATTTCAGCAAGGCGTCGACATTGTAATTGAAGAAGAGAAGCCAACTGACCTTGAAGAGAAGGACTGGAAGAATATCAACCGCTTAACATGTGGAACAATTCGTTCGTGTTTGTCGAGGGAGCAGAAGTACGCGTTCAAGAATGAGAATTCTGCTCACACTTTGTGGAAGGCTTTGGAGGATAAATTTATGAAGAAAAGTAGCCAGAATAAGCTCCTCATGAAGAAGAAATTGTTCCGATTTGAGTACCGGCATGGCACATCGATGAATGACCACGTCACTGCATTCAATCAGTTGATTGCAGATTTGTTGAATTTGAACGTCACATTCAGCGATGAATGTGACGATGTAACATTCAGCGATGAATTTGGCTCTCATGTTGTTATCATCACTTCCAGACGACTTCGAGCACTTGGAGACTACACTACTCCATGGGAAAGACGATGTAACTCTTGCAGTGGTCAGTTCTGCTCTGTATAGCTACGAGTTGAGGAAGAAGAACAAACAAGAGGCGAAGAATGCAGCAACAGAAGATGAAGCGTTAGTTGCAAGAGGTCGGTCAAAGAGCCAAAAGAAGAATGGACGAGGAAGATCACGTTCCAAGGCCAAGCTTGAAAAAGACGAGTGTGCTTTCTGCCATGAGAAGGGACACTGGAAGAAAGACTGTCCTAAGTTGAAGAAGAAGGGCAAATCTCCTCAAGATGCATATGTTGCTGAGGGTGGAAATAAAGACTCAGAATTTTCGCTTGTGGTTTCACCTTCATTATCTCATCCAGACGAATGGATTTTGGACTCAGGATGCACCTACCATATGTCTCCCATAAGGGAGTGGTTCTTTGATTTTCAAGAGATCAATGGAGGGGTTGTCTACATGGGTAATGATAATTCCTGTAAGACAACCGAGATAGGTTCAATCCGTTTGAAGAATCGCGATGGTTCTACCAGAGTTTTGACGGATGCTCGGTACGTGCCGAGTTTGAAGAAAAACCTCATCTCATTTGAGCCTTGGAATCCAAAGGCTTGGTAGTGACTTTGAGAGATAGAGTTATGAAGGGTACATCCGGCTCGCTCGTGGTGATGAATGGCATCAGGAGGAATAATTTGTATTACTATGAAGGTGATACAGTTGTTGGGACAACAACAGTAGCAGATTCCACCAACAAGGAGTCTGAAGCAGTCAAGTTATGGCATATGCGGTTGGGACATGCTGGTGAAAAGTCCTTGCAAATATTAGCAAAACAAGGATTGTTGAAAGATGTCAAAGTGTGCAAATTAGACTTTTGTGAGCATTGTGTTCGGGGAAAGCAAAAAAGAGTGAAGTTTGGAACGGCTATCCATAATATTGAAGGTGTCCTGGATTATGTTCATTCGGATGTTTGGGGACCTTCTAAGACCCCATCATTAGGCGGAAGACGCTATATTGTCACTTTCATCGACGAATTTTCCAGACGTGTTTGGGTGTACACTATGAAGACGAAGGATGAAGTGCTTGGTGTCTTCATTACATGGAAGACACAAATTGAGAATCAGACTGGAAAGAAGATCGAGGTCCTACGAACGGACAATGGTGGAGAATATACAAGTGATCCCTTTCAAGAAGTTTGCCGAAAAAATGGCATTGTTAGGCACTTCACCGTCAGACGGACACCATAACAAAATAGGGTGGCGGAGCGCATGAATCGAACATTGGTGGAGAAAGTTCGATGTATGTTGTCCAATGCTGGTTTGGGCAAGGAGTACTGGGCTGAGGCTGTAACATACGTGCAACACCTCATAAATCGTTTGCCGTCATCTGCAAAAGATGGTAAAACACCATTGGAGGTATGGTCGGGGAAACCTGTTGCTGACTATGGATCTTTACATGTCTTTGGGTGTCCTACGTTCTATCATGTGAAGGATTCAAAGTTAGATCCAAGAGCAAAAAAGGCTTTGTTCATGGGAATCACAATTGGCGTGAAGGGATATCATTTTTTGTGTCTTGAGACGAACAAAACTTTGTTTAGCAGGGATGTTACATTTGATGAACAAGGTATGATAAAGACGACGCAAACCCAACAGGTGGAGATGGGCTGCTTGTCAGTGGATAGACAGATGTCACTCTTTGACGGAAAGAAGTCGGGCCTGCATGATCTCGGTGTTCCACAATCTGTTGGTCAGCCATGTGCGCCGAGGTGTTGACCTTGCACCGAGGTGATCTCGGAGACAGCTCCTCGTATATCAAAAACTTAAAATTAGCTCAGATCGTTCTTATTAATCCTCTTGACACGTCCTTAATTTGAGTATCTGAATTTGATACCAACAGGTACATACGGTCATCTTATATTAATAAATGCAATATGTTTGTGTTATGTTTAAAAATATGATATTTTTTAATAACAAATTGCATATTGATAATATTGGTGTATATACTGAAATCTTTGTTTTGGATATTATTTACATTATTTCTGTTGAATGAGAATCATGTTTGATTAAACAAGTTCTATGTTCTGTTGTTGCACTTAGATAAAATTGTTCATCGCTGGTGGACAGAAGATCATTTTATTAGTTACTTGCGAAACAAGAATGATTGGTTCCCAACCTAGATAGAAATGAACAAATAATCAGAACGGTTATAGTGTCAACCGTACAGTTGATCTCGATTGATTAACTGCACTAGTACATTTTATGTATTGAATAGGTTCACAGAAAGGAGCTGTTCGTGTTATACAGATTGTCGTAAACGAACTAAGTCTCGGTGAATTAATGTGTTCTCTTAACCTGTAAGATATAAACAGGCATGTACACGCAGTAGCTATTACTTTGATTCACCAAAAGTGAGATTCATTCTGCTGTGTCAATAGTTTTCGTGTTTTAGGTAATAGTGCTGCTGCGTGTATGACGTGCTGTTAGAATATTTACGGTCACTATGTACGTTAGTTTAATGATGGCCCCGACATTAAGTTCCGACATTATGTATAGAATGTACATATTATTTAGAATGTGGTTATCTTGAATTCATTATATATAGAATGTACACATTATTTACAATATACAAATTCGTCAATGTTATATGTTTAGCTTAATATGTTATAATGAATGTCTATACTCCTATAAATAATATTTATTCAATAACTACAGTGCTAAGCATAATTTGTTATATATGAAAACAATATTTTAAAATTATTAAGTAAAAAATATAGCCGCTATGAACGAATACTAAGGACAAATTTTGTCGGTCGACTCTGCCTTCGTGATAACCCTAGCCCCAATTTTGTCGCCCAAGCTTCCGTCACTTTCCCCTCAAATTCCCGTCAATCTGCCTTCCTCGGTGACGATTCGATTTTGGCCAGTGGTCGTTTCTGACCGCTTGGCCCGCCCCTAGCTTCGCAAGTCTTCGATGTCCCTGCAGGTGTCGTGATTAGTGGCTTTCTTCGTCGCCGGCAAGTTGCGTTGTGTGGTGCAGCTCCCTCGGTCGGATTCAGAAGGTCTCTTCTTGGTCGCCGACAGTCTTCGATTAAAGGAGGGAAACTTCGATCTGCTTCTGGCTGGCACTCTGGAGGTCCTCCTAGTCGCTTTCGCTGTTCACGGTGGGGCTTCCGGTGGTCTGGGATCTAGTCAGCGGCGGTTTGCAGTGGTGTTGGGAGGAGCGTAAGCCGGGGGTCGGGGCGGGACTCCAGATGCTGTGGCGGTCTTGTTGCGGCAACCGGGGTTGAGAGAATAAGCCGTCCTCACCCTCCCCTGTTGGCTAGTGGTGTTAGGCGGCGGGGACCTGGCTTTGTCGAGCTCGTCTAGTGGTGTTAGAAGGTTTCGGGCTAGGACTGGTGTGGGGCGGATTGTTCTTCTCTCGGTTGCTGACGGGTCGATTTTGGGATTGGTTTGGGCTCGGGGTTGGCTATTGTATAGGCGGTTGCGCAGTTTCGGTAGTGGTTCTTCGGGCTTGGAGTCTCTCTTGGGTCGATTGTTCACTATTGGTTGGGTCGATTCGATTGCTGGGGAAGGGCTTTGTAACACCCTGCCTTACTTAGCTTTTAATACTGACAATCAGAGTAAAATTTTTGCTTTTATTTTCGAAATATCGTGCGAGCTTTGTTTTCGAAAATACTTTCTTACTTGCGGGATGCTATGAGAACTTTCTTATCTTACTCATGCAGACATAATAAAACATGCAACCAAATCAATCCACTATGGAGATAATGGAATCACACATGCAGTCTAACTATCTCGCACTGTCTAGTTTAG